TAAATAATTTGTGTATGTTATAATTAAGATAACTAAAATAAAATATTACAAGCCTAACATCGATCTAAACCGGATGTTTCATTAACATGTCTAAATATTTTAACTTGCGAATTTTAATTTCAAAATATAATTAAACCATAATTACACCGACGCCCTTTTATGAGATACAGGGTGTTTTATATAAAGATTTAAATCTAAGTTTTAAGCAACATTTTAATAATGCTTGCTATTTCTCTACGAAATTTGGCAAACAGTTCAAGTAATTTAAAAGGGATGAAAGTATACTAAAAATGAATTTCTGGCATTCAAGACTGATAATGGGAACACAATAAAAGAGTCATTTATTTTTTTATAGCCTACGTTACTGACTAAATTGATATATTAGTAGAATTTTTTAATTTTTAAAATTGTGCAGTTAAAACATTTAGACATTAACAAAATACCACGTATATTTTGTTCGCGAATTTTAAAACAACTTTTCTGAATATAAGCGATCCTAATTTTGAAATAACGTTATGGGACGTCCGTATGTTCTCGTCAGAAATTATTTATCTTGTAATAGTTTTATACAAAGTATTTAAACATTAGAAAACTGTACATTTTTAAAAAGTGTTCTCAGAATAATTTACTACATTCAAATGTATATATCTTTTATAGGTTTCCTAAATCGGTGTCCTAAAATTAATAATTTTTATAGAAATTTTAAAATATTCTATATAGGTAGCAAATACAGTTCTTATCTTATAAAAAATTGCACATTATAAAACATTAATGTCAGAGTGTACAAAAAAGTCGGTAACTTTGAATATGGGGCTTATTCCAAATTTTCTTATATAAACTTTTTAATGAGATACAAGATATTGCTATAACAAACATCTGAGCAATCCACGTGGTAATGTTGGTGTATTCAATAATAGTGTATCTCTATAAAAAAATTTGGAAACCCTGTGTAGTATTGTTTCTATTTTATATAAATAATTCACAATACTAAACTTTTCAAAAAGTTTTTCATCTATCTATCCTAAAGCAGTCTATCAAAAAATACTAAACAGTCTAGACATCTTTACACAAAACTGTTTTTTAAAAACGCTGTTTGGTATAAAACTTTTTACAAAGTCGATTATTATGGTCCAAATGATGCCTAATTGAATTCCTGTTTTGTACTTTTTGAAAAACTTCACAAATATACACGTTTAGAATCTGTTTCGACTATATTTAAACGGTACGAAAAGGTACTCGATAACAATCCAAAATACATTCACATTGGGTATTTGCCTACAAACAATGCAGGGTTTATAAAACCGACAGCATATACAAAGTGATTATAAGTTGTGTGTATAATTATAATTATTGGTAACAATACATAGTACAAGCAACATAAGGGGAAAGAATTAGTTGTAGTACACTGCTCAAAATTTAAAGCTTTTGAATCATCTAACATAAAATTGATCGATAAAAAATACATACTATAACTTTTGACTTTGACTCATATTTTTAATAATAAAAACTTCAGTATATTCCTTAAGTTCTAGTTCTTTAATTGTTCTAATAAAAAAATTCTTCAGTTGTTTTTAAGAAGCAGTGCATTTATTTGTGGTAAACAAAATAAGTAGTACTGGTTTATGAGTAACCAACTTAACGTCACTTTGTATATAAAACAAATGTTATGTTTTTAATAAACTCCTATACATAAAATATATGATAGGTTAAAAACAATTATAACAAGGAAGTATATTTACAGTATTTTCAACTTTCATTGGATTGAGTTTTGAAACTATCAGTCAGTGGAACCAGAAAGATTCAAAATACAATCCTTGTTTTATATTTTACCACTTTCGAGCCAATTATTTAGAAACTTGAAGAAGTCACAATTGCCATGCTTTTTCTCTTAGCTCCAGACATAGTTTTTTAGGACTTTTGCTATCAGGAATAAAAGCAAAACAAGGTGTTTATGGCGGTAGCATTCTTGCCAAGGAGATATAGTAAGCACCAAATATTAGAATTAGATTCTTAGAATTTGTTTTTCTTATCATTTGTTCGCAGTAACACTACTAATAAGTGTTCAGAATTAATACTCTGTAGGAATAATATACAAAAGAAAGAGTGTCGGACTAAAAGCAATATTGAGTTAGTTATTTTAAAAACACAAAATTGTAATTTATTCAATGTTCAAAGTTGCAGCTGATAGTACAAGCTTAAAATATTTAATAACACAAAATCATTTTGTTGTCCACAAGTTGGCACTAGACGTTTGGCACACAGGCCGACAAAATATAAAATATTCGGACACAGAGATCAGAATATGCTTTTCAATAGGATTTTGTTCGCTAAATCTCAATCTAAGCATCAAATTGCCAAATTGGCTAAGGTATCCTAATCTAAAAGTGCAAATATAGCGGTTTTTGGAGTTTTTGAGGTTATGTAGCATCGCAATATAACTTCTCTCCCAAAAACTGTTATAACCATCTTAAAGTATAGGTCTCAATATTTTTTATAACGTCTTTCTGTGTCTTTTTGGGGAAGTAGGTACGTTTGCCGATACAGTACCTACAGAAGCAGACGAGGACACCACCCAGGAAAATACAGGAACCGAGAGGAAGAAGATTCAAATGCTGGCGGTGCAAGATCGGAACGCAGAAGAAAGAAGGCTAAAATATCAATTTTGACATGTAATTCATAATAGTATGGCAATAAATGTTTCTATTTTTATTTTTATTTTTTATTTTTTATTTTTTATTTTTTATTTTTTATTTTTTATTTTTTATTTTTTATTTTTTATTTTTTATTTTTTATTTTTATTTTTTATTTTTTATTTTTTTATTTTTTATTTTTTATTTTTTATTTTTTATTTTTTATTTTTATTTTTTATTTTTTATTTTTATTTTTTTATTTTTTATTTTTTATTTTTTATTTTTTATTTTTTATTTTTTATTTTTTATTTTTTATTTTTTATTTTTTATTTTTTATTATTGTCTTTTTGGGACAGTCGGACTTGAGAAAAACATTGCGTAAAGAGATTGTCCATAATATCAGAGTGCTTAATTGGTTCGAACAACGTTCTACATGAAAGTCTTGTTGATATAACGAAAGTGCATATACCACCAATTCATGTAAAATTATGATTAATGAAACAATTCAGAAAAGCTCTCGACAAAGATGGTGCAATTTATGTGCAGAAAGCTTAGGAAGCTAATGAAAGATAACAATTTTGAGAAAACTATGACAATTACAGAAATTGTAGTTTAGAACAAGTTGTCCACAATTTTCTAGGAAATCATCGAGATGTAGAATACAAAATCATATCAACTATGCTAAAAAAATTTCAAAAATTAAGAGCTTGAAATGACATTATCTCTTTCCTCATTTAAATTATTTCCCAGAAGTTTCACTAAGACTTCATGCGGAAAGAACATTACTTTCAATGTCGATGGGATTTAGAATAAGGTAGATATTTTGCTTTTCACTTAAGAGAAATAACGTTTCATTTGAACATACACGTACGTGCATTCGTGCATAAGACATTCAAACGATTCAAACTAAAGCGAGATAGATTTTATATAAAAAAAAAAACGTAAACCAAAATTGATACCCATTCTTATTATATTCCAATACCTATTTGAAAGAGAAAGCCTTATACTTTAAGGTATTCTGCTTATTATTTTAGGATGGAAAAAATTAAGTTCTACATAACCTCAAAAATAACCAAAACCGCTATATTGCACTTTTAGGTTAGGATATATCAGAAACCAGGGCAAATTCGGTAATTTGGACTTAAGTTTCGTATTTAACGCATCAAAAACCTTTGGAGAAGTATACTTTGTTTTCTGGGTCCGAGGCTTGTCGCCCTGTGCAATTTTCAAATAAATTCAAAAAGTAGAAAATAGTAAAATTTGAAGAGTGAGCCCAAGATGATGGAGATAAGCTATAGGAGAACGAATGTTAGAAGACCTTTGGTACACTACGTTATTGCCTGTTACGATTACGTCATAACAATCACTTTTTTGCTTTATCTCTTCGTACCTGGTGCTTACTGTATGTGATATTCAACTTTATATATTATTATTTTTGTTTTCCTACTGTGCGACATCGACAAAGTAGCCGAGATGAATTTTAAATTTAAGCGAGGACGATAAAAATCAGCAATGTAAGATAAAAATAAATGGCAACAATATACTAGTGTCAGAAACGCCAAAAGAGTACGGCAATTTTTATTGTGGCCTTACATTTTAATGTCAAACGGCAATAACAAGTTTATAAATAGGCTTTTAAATATAAATTATTAAACTAAATATGGTATACGCAGTTTCATCGTCTCTGGAAAATGTCCAGAAAATTCGTCGGATGTTATTTTATCAGTATATGCTCCAAAATTATTTCATTCTCTTAAAATAACTACCAATTGACTCATTTATAAATTTTGTACCTTGTAGAATTCGTTTATTTTTTAATTAAAAAATTACAAAACCCTATGAAATCATTGGCTTAGTATATTTTCTGCACATTCCGATAGAGGAAGGTTATGTTTCTTTATTATTAAACTCAGTCTGCAAAATCACAAAATCGGGAATCAAGCATATTTATAGTATGGCTAAATTAAATTAAACTGAATATAGAAAGACAAAAACAATTCAATAAAAGAAATAAAGATCAATTGGATAGACATTCAAATATGCATTTTTTGTATCGAATGAGTTTTATTTAATTTAGCCAAGTTAAACAAACCATAATTCAACATTTATAAAGTAGGTTATCATTGGTCTAAAATTGTCTTGTTTATTTGGTTCATAAGTTTCAACAGTAATTAATATTAATAGTAAAATAGCGAAAATAGCCGATATTACAAAACTTCTGTATTCAAATCGAAGTTCTACACCTATAAAAGCTGCATCACAACATCAGTTATTGAGTTTAACACAACCGTATCTCGGATACAATTCCAGTCCGATCAACTTGACCCTTACCATCGATAAATTGAGCCCAAACATTCACAACGCTAAACTTCATCTTCCCTTTTTCTTCCTTTCTTTCGCCAATTTCCTCCTTTTCAAGATCATCTCGTACAGAACTTCTAATCCCTCGTGTAATCCGTCACCAGTTATGGCGCAAGCAGGTTGCACGTGCCATAAATGCCCACCGGGAGCTCCCCCATTACCCAACTCAGTCAAACCCAAAAGTTTTTCCAATTCGCGCGGTTCTCGAGCACCAGGTAGATCTTGCTTATTGGCGAGCACAAGGATAGGGACACTGAAGTTTTCAGGTGCTTTGACAGTTCTTATCAGTTCCATTTTGGCTTCTTCCATACGCTCCATGTCGACGCTATCTAGGACGAAGACGATGCCATCAGTACAGCGGGTGTAGGACTTCCACAAAGGTCGCAGTTTTTCTTGGCCACCCACGTCCCAAACCAGAAAGTTTATACCTGAAGAAAAAAGAAAATCATAACGTGAATTAAAGAGAAGTTATATTTGGATGTTATTTAAATGACGCATCCCCAATATCGTGGGGAGTTATTGTGATAATTTCTTGCAATGAATATGCATTTAGCATTTTTCTTTTCTAGTATTAGTAACCAAATTTTATTTCATTGTTAATTATCGATAACTTCTCTCTTTGAGACTTGGAGCATTAATATGAAAAAGTCTGATAACATCTCATGCTGCCTCGTTATACACCAGTTTAAATCACAACGTATCTCATATTTTATGCTACTATTATGAGAATTTTATTTAAAACCCCTATTCAATGAAATTGTTTTAATTATAACTATTCTAGGAGAGAGTTAAGGGTTAAACTGTGATAAACTATTAAATGATGTTTAATGTTAATTGACATATATTCACTTCATTAAAAGATGATTTGAAATAATTACTCGCATTAATTTCCAACTATATGATTTTTTTTAATAGGTAGTTTTCATTTCACCCCTAAAAATTAAAAAGCAACCAACGGCCTAAGTCCAATAGTGAAGTGAAGGGTAAGTAGAACCTATCTAAATTTTCATGCAATTCGGTGGTGACACAGAAAATTACACGGCATCGCCGTATTTCATGTTCATTTACTGGCGTATATGCAATTTTTGCGTTTTGCCGCAATTGAAGACAGTTTCTATAAAGTTGTTAAATAAATAAACGTTGCGCAATGTTTACCATTTCTTATGATTCTCATGAGATGAATAAAATTTATCACTTCCATGCACTGTCCATTATGGAATTTCCATTGGTAATCTTCAAAACCTATAGCATGAAATTTCGATTTTGAGTTTTGGCAACAAATATGAGGTATTTAAAATATGATTAAAAAACGCTGAATTTAAACTTTACACCTTACAAACGCATTTTAGTTTTTGGCGATAGGACACTTTATTAAAAGGTATGGAATTGTTACCGTCGAGTTAATACAAATTTATTTAAAAATTTGATTTCGTAGGCGTAAATGACATTTGTTGTTTCTGAGATACTGGATCATTTTACAGAAAAAGTGCTAATTAACATTTTAGTTCAAATTTATCCCAGCTACATTTCTTGTTTGAATCCTTTTTTTCTACGGTGTACAGATTCTTGGTAAATCGATGTTTCTCATTTTTCCCACCTACGAGGGGAGTTTTAGAGAGAAGCTGGGGGAAGTGGCAACATTTTTTTGCTTTGTTTTAGGGATCCCAAAATTGACATTTTCAGTGTGGGGTCGCAGTTAAACGTCATTCTAGTCAATATTGCTGCATTGACCACTTACATATACATCTACCCTAAGCCGCCTAATTAAAAAATCGACAAACTGTAATATCTATCTTGGGTACGTAGTAATTACTTGAGTAGCGTAATAAATGTAGACAAAGTATTTATTGAAATATGAGTACTGTGTTAAATATCGCGATATATATAATATGAAAGGTACGTGTCCATAAAAAGCTAAGTCACCAGATGTTTATTTCGTACAAAACAAAGTTTAAATTTTAAAAGTAGTTATTGATAAATTATTGATGGTTATCATGAACTCTGGTGATTAGATCAGTTACTTTGCTAATTATTAAGACACACGAGGAATTAAACTTATATTGATATTATGCAAAATAGAACATAAGCCTTGATTGGTCAAACCAACAAATATTATTGGCTAAAGAGGTCAAGTAAAAAAAAACCAGTTAAATAGACAAAAGTTATTATTATCAAATCATTCTCGTTCTTGGACAGGTTATTAAAAAATTGTTTCGCTTCGTCACCACAGAATCGTTTTAAATCTTGTATGCATTTAAATTTTTTAGCCGAGATTGTTATCAAACCTAAAAATAATGTTGTTTAATAATTCAAGACATTAATATTTTTTATACTTCAAGTTATACTTCTATACGCGCGTTCGATGTTGGAAATTTGTACGGGAGTGAATCGGTGAAATCATTACATATGTAAGATATGAGTAAGAGAGAGACAGAAGATATATTTTCTCTCTCGAGAATAAAACTGTTCCTTTTGTATATATATTTAATATTATATATATAATATAATATATATTAATATTATTATTTATGTGATATGTTTTGTATTATTTATTAAATGTTCATAATTATTTTATACTTTTGTATTTCAAAATAATAATTACAATAAATCACTGTATGACCGAGAACTGTAAATTTTGAAATACGTTACTGTCATGTCTAATTTGCAAATTGTTTACGTGTTTTGTTCATACGCTGGTATATGTGAGTTCGAATCCCAATATGAATATCCTTTTTTATTTTTGAAATATTTAAAAACCTCACGTTCATCTTATTAAATATATGTAATATACGCAAAAATGATAAATTTTAAAATAAAATGAAAATTTACAACATAATCCGAGTTGTTGTGGACAATATAATGCAAAAAACGAAACATGGTGTTAATTTTTATTTTGTCCCACACACAGTCGCAGAATATTTCAAGCGATCTTGTACATCGAGAAAATTCCATAGAAAGTCAGTCAGCATTGAGCATACATCGTCGCTTCCCTTTTTTCCAAGTGTTTCCGAGTAAATGTAAAACATACTTTTTGCTGTAGAGCGAATGTGGACATTAGAGGCATAGTTCAGCTGGCTCTTATAGTAAATATCGTTTGTTGTTATGATTGGGAGACTGAGATTTTTTCCAAAATCGAGACAAATACCTTCGTGGCTTCGAAACCTTTTAAAGCATCAGCCTGAAGAGATTTTATTTTTTTACATGTAAGTATCGGATCTGAGATATCCAAAGGCTATGTTAAACTTTGTATTAAAACTGTTCTGTACGACTTGTAAGATATTTTCATAGAAGAGTTTAACTTGCATATTAACTTGTTTAACATTTTGAACATGACTTTTTAATATCATTTACACTGTAATGGCTTTTCCTGCCTTTAAATGACTTTATATTATATTTGTATATTATTGCAAGAACGTGGGATTTCAATTTTCTAGGATGGTTTTTATTTTCTCCTATTTTTAGTGAATTTTGTAATATCTCTAATTTTTTCCGTATTCCATGAATAGACATTAAAGCTTGTCTACAAATATTTATTTCTTTTAAGCTATTATCGGTGCTAAAACGTACCCTGTAAGCCTATGCAGCACTTCCCAACTTCGCTTCGTCTTCCTCTTTCCTAGGCCTTCTTCGGCGAATAAGGAGTACCGTAATATCCGCATAAGTATGAGTTCTGCTCATTAATAGAAGTCAATGTGTTCAAATTCTTCAGTATAGTTTTTCTTGCTTCTTCGGGAACATTTTGAAAAAATTGTTTACGACAATTAAAGGTTACACCTATCTCGTGACACTGCAGTCTAATTTGTTTCATGACATCTCTCATTCTGCCGTGCTTTTTCCTCTTTTTTGATTCATTCTGTCTATTCGCTACTTCGCCACTACTATTGATTTCTGTATTCATTCTGGACGAACCTAACTCTAACCTGCGTGTATTAGATCAACGTCTATGTGCTGTTTATATGGACTTTACCCTTTTAGGACCTGCCTGATGAGGACTTGCCCTCCATTGGCGGTGTTTTGCGAAAATAAGAATTAGCATTTTACAGACACTAAGCGCTTTTAGGACGTGTACAAGCCGCTGGCCACGTAGACCTCTTGTCTGTGTTGTAACTTTTTACTTGTAATATATTTCATCGCGAATTCTACTTTTCTTTCTTAAGAATGTCGAATCCAATTTCACTCACCTTTGTATCCTTTCTTTTCGGAATATCAGCAATTATGATTTTAATATCTGCTCTCAAATTATTTATAGTTTTTTGTTTGTGCAACAATTAGAAAAAAAAAATCGTTTGGAAAAAAACATGTTTTAACGATTCCTTAAAACTTTTTTTAAAAGTTTTACGTCCTTAAAAAGAGTAAAACGAATATCGTCTTTCTTTTATTTTCGCAATACATTTGTTCTATTTTAGGTTTTTTATTATTTAAAAAGCACTTAACCACTTACCCTTAGCTTTTCCAACCATTCCCTTGACCTTTTCGCAATTGAATCCGATAGTAGGTACGGTGTTCAAATACTGATCGAATTTTAACCTATACAGGGCCGTCGTTTTTCCGGCTGAGTCTAAGCCCAGCATGACGACATGGAGGGTGCCCTGACCAGAAGGTAGAGCATCGAGGAGGGATGCGTTTTTACCCATGTTAGCACCCATTGGTTAGAAAATTTTATTCTTAAACGAAATCGGTGGCAGTTGCCAAATTACATTTTGGCTTCGGGTGTGATTTCTGGGCGCAAGCAATTCTGACGGTGACTTAGATTCGTGAGGTGGGGTTACTAAGCATCTTATGTTATGGATCTGAAACAAAGAAGAAATATATGTTAACGACATAGATAACTTTTAGATGTAATAAAATATGTAAAGATATTATAGCAGTAAAGATCAAAATGAAAATAAATGGCTACCAATTCGGCCGACACACAAATTCAGCCTCTAAAACCGTATACTATAAATTAATTATTACTATCTATAAAACCATCAGTAGGTCAGCAGTATATTATAGATTTGTTTATAGATATAAGTTCTTGAAATAATCATTCTAAGAGATTTGGATGGGCTGGTCATGTAGTTATGAGTGGATTACGACATATTGGCAAAAAGAAATCAAGAAATGTTCTGAAGCTATTTTAATCGTGGCCTCTTTTACAGTGACCATTATATTTTTTCTGTAATTAAACCACAATAATGGTAGTTAGTATATATATTTTATTGACCTTCCAACTTAATACCTTAAGTCCAGAAATCGTACTTGAAATGTTAATAAACTCCTGCATATCTTCCTCAAATAACCGACACTATCGAGCGATTCGTTACGCCTTTTTTTTAACAAAGAAATAACTTTGCCAAATGCCCCTTCTGCTTTTTATCTTGTTTTGGTACATAAAAATCTTTCCTAATAACAAAGGAAAAAGATCCTATTGTGAGATCTCCGAGCTGCCTTCTCAGAAAAACAGAAGAGTTGTTTTTCGTAGAAAGTTACTTTTCATTGGTAAAAGCTATGAAAATGAACCCCAGTAGCCCAGCAATTTAATGTCAATTTCGCGTGGCATCCTTCAGCCAATATCCCTTCCCTATTTTCAACCTTCGCTTGTCTAAGCCCTTCTAAGTTCACAATCCGATGTTCATTTCCAAGTTGGTTCCTGTGGCAAGCGGTCTTATCTTCGACAATCGGCGGTAAGTGGATTTTCAATTCACTCTTATTTATCTTTACACAGTGTGTCTTATATTAATTATTTTCTCTTTTGTCAAACAGACGTCTTCCAATTGAAGTCACTTCTGTTTGCGCCGTTCAGGTTCTACCCCGTTCAGATTCTATACCGTTCAGATTCTACACCGTTCAGATTTTACACCATTTTATATTCTACACCGTTCTTCTACTACTCTTCTCTCACCGTATTCTACTACTCTCCAGTCTAGCTGTCTCTTTTAGAGAGGCAATCTAAGGTAGATATATATATTATATATATATATATATATATATATTATATATATATATATATATATATATTATAACATTACACACTATGCTGAAAATATTTTTTCATGATATCCTTTAAGTACATTTTTAATTTCATTGAAATATACTTCTAGAAAATTATTTTTTTACGATCAAACTTTGCATTCCACAAAGTACTTTTGTGGAATGCAGTAGAAAAACATATGTTATGCAGAGAACGGCCTTTTAAACTGGAATTTCCTATGTACCTGTGCGTCAGCCTACAATGATCAAACAATGTGCTAATAAAAGAAAACCAACGTAATGCATCAAAGAGCGATAATCAAAAAATTATTTATCAAGTATGAATCATAAGAATGAAATTTTATTATGTTCAATAAACGCAAAAATTCATTTTATGTACATATACCTTGCAAGTGAACCTAAGTTTATAATTCTGTTATAAATTCTTCCAGAAATAATTATAGTATAATCTTAATGCATGGGAGAGTTATATTCATAAATAATAAATGCTTTTAAATAATAATTAGCATACATCGTCTGCAGCAAATAATTAATTTTCAAAGTTGCTAAGTTGTGGTTGTCCTTTTCTCCAACATAGACGAGAACCAAAACTTCTATGTGGTTGATTGTGAAAGACTCCGATTAATAATTAATCTTTACCGAAGCAAGGTATAGTTCTATATTGAAGCAATAGTAGACTGCGAGTTTTTTATTTTTATTTATATAAAAAATATTTATAAAGTATTTTTATTTTATTTGAGCACAATTGACTAAACAAATATTTTTATTTTACATTTTGTTTTGAAAATAATTGAGTTTAAATGACCCTTTGCTGTGTCGGCGAGTATTTAATTATGTGTGCGATAACTAAAGCGAGATATAGTTCTATTAACTGAGAACTGTGATATGATTTTTCTAACTGATGATGAGAGAATGTCTTCTGAGCATGCAAGCAAGCAATTTAATTGAACCCAGCCTATTAGAAATGTTTACCCCTATGAATTACGACCGGGTGTAACAATTCATTGGAGCGAGGTGTATTAACTCGAGTAAAAAACAGGAGTCACTCCACCGCGCTCCAATGCTCTAGACCATACCTTTCTCCCCTATAGCACTCTGATGCGCTATAGAGGCACAAAAATCAGCCAACTGCTCTTCATGTGGAGGTCCTGGGTAATAGAACCCCAACATGGTTTCCAAACCGATTTGCAAAAACTCAAGACAGCGCATTTTCGCTATATTCCTGTTATCTTAATGTGGCTTATCCGCGAACTAAAATTGCTTACTTGGGCCTCAAGTCTCTGCTCTGAACCCCGGCTCAGTTCGGCGACTTGGTGCTCAAGGGATTGGCCTCCGTGCCCGGGTTTTGAGGTTTTTGTTAATTTTTTTTATGACTTTCGCCGGTTTTTGTTAGTATTTTGTAATTTTTTTGGTGGTCGAAGCCAGTTTTTTGTGTTTTTTGTTCTTTTGAGAGTGTGAGATCATTCCTCATGTTTGTAGGAAAAAACCAGACTTTTATAGTAATTTTAATGGAAGGGAGATATTTTACTATATTTTTATAGCTTTATAGTTTTGTAAATTGTAAAGCAATAAAATATTTGACGACTGACTATTAAAAAAAAACCTTTTAGTAAGAATAGAACAACATGCAGGTGTGTACACAAGGGTTCGCTTCAAATTGTTTCTTATGTCCAAAAGAGCAGTTTTGACCTCATTTTACGGACTCCTAAGATTAGAACTTCGGATGTATGTACATACTACAAAAATGGTCTGATTTAGATGCAGTTGTATAAGAGGATCAATTTTAATAGATTTTAATCGATATAATAATACACTACACTAAACAAGGACAAACAGTTTAAAATTATTTAAAAGTTTGGTGTTTTGCTCCTTGTTTAGTATAGTGTTATGTATAATTTTATGTTTAATTCCATGTTTATGACATTCTGCGCTTCTTGGATAGCCCAAAATTGACGAAGCATTCTCAGACGTAGTCCTAACCTTATATCCCAACTACAACGATTGATGCAAGTGCTATTTTAATACGTGTCTTAATTTCTTTGGTTTGGTTTACATTTGATATTATCCATGTTCCTAAGTATTTGTTGGTATCCACACTCTCAATTACAGTATCCTCAATAATCAATTGGATGTTTGCATCTGCTGATTTAGTCATGATCATGCATTTAGTTATTTTCAAATTCATCTTTAGTCCGTATTCATGACAGGATTCATTAAGTCGTTGCATTACGTTCAGTAAATCATTGTTGTTATCGCTTATTATTACTGTATCTTTTGCAAAACACAAGTTATTCAAAACTTCTCCATTGATAGATATACCTTCTATCGTTGATGTTATTCAATCAACGCTTCTATTTAATCTGAAAGCGGTTCTTTAAATACCGCTTCACTCTAGACATTGAAGACTAATGGTGACAATACGCAACCCTGTCGGACTCCTATCTGTATTTTGATATCTCGGGTGTTCTGATTGTTTGATTCCAATATAGACTAGATATAATTTTCATATCACGACTGTCCAATATTTTTGCTTTTCAATATTTCTACAAGCTTATTATGTTTAACCTTATCAAATGCCTTTTCAAAATTTACAAAACATACGTACATGTTCTAATTCATATTCATGCACCTCTTGGCCAGCACATTCAAACCGTACAAAGCATCTCTTGTGGCCATACCATTTCTAAAGCCAAATGGTGTGTCACTAATTTCATATTCAGGAGTTTGAATAATTCTGCTGTGTATTATTTTCAAAAATGTTTTAAGTGTTTGACTCATTAAAGGTATTGTTCTGTGATCTGAGCAGGATATTGCACTTGACTTTTTGGGTATTGTCACAAAGGTATATTGCAGTCATTGTCTGGGGATTGTGTAAGTCTGATATATTAGATTAAAGAGTTCACCCATTATATCAATAACATCTTTATCAATGAGTTTTAATAATTCAATGGGCACATCATCATGTCTGGTAGCTTTGCCCTCTTTTATGTTTTTGATGGCGTAGATGACTTTTTCCTGTAATATTGGTGGTCCGGTATCCTCTGTGGTTTGTACTAATAGTTCTTCTCTTTTATCATTAAATAGCTTTTGGATGTAATTGGCCCAGTGACACAATATTTCCTTCATATCAGTAATAGTATCTCCTTTATGATTTTAAAGGTTAAGAACCTGTGATTTTTTTTTATTTTTTTTGTGTAAACTAAAGCTATCATACTTTTTATCCAGATCTTCTATTTCCTCTCGAATTTTCTTTCTAATGTTTTTCTGAATTTCTTTGTAATTATTCAGGCCATTTGCTTTATGTTTTCTTCGTTCTTTCATAAGTTCAAGAATTTCTACTGTCAGAAGGTGTGTTTGAGGGTTTCTTTTCCCACTGACACAAGCACATGTTGAATTTTCCCTCCATTTTTGGTCAATAGTTAGAGTTCTACAGTATCTTCTTTGACTTTCCTTAAGTTTTCGTTTATTTTAAATTTCGTTTCCGCATATGTGTTGACTTGTTTACGATATTTCACGGCATGTACTTGGCAGCAAACACGTTGTAGTCACATGTACAGAACCGTCCAAAGATCTTACGGCGGAACTGTTACGAGCAAAACTACCTTTTTTGATTGTCATTTATAATGTAAATTATACATACAGACAGAGAGAGACATTAGATATTTGTATTTTT